TACTCATATGCAAGTTCAAGCTGAAGCTGAGGAAAATTAAACCAAATCCACAAGAGCCAAAATATGACTTTGATTTCATACCAGCTGAATTTCAGAATCATCTCAGGAACAGGTTTGAGGACTTGATACTGAAGATACCTAGTAAATAAAAAAGAACATTGAGAAAATGTCCATACTTAGTATAACACTGGACACATAGGAGGCACCTTGCAAAAGCTGACCAGTTACAGATCTGAACTGTGTTTATCAACTTTTTTGACAAAAATGTGAACAACAGATTCTAAACGTTGTCACTAGAAAGTTTCAGAGTTTGAATGACACAATTTAAGCTGATAACTTACTTTGGGTATCCTTAAGAGGCTTTACTCAATGAATATGACTTCTTAGTTGTGAAGAAAATAAAACACAATAAGGTGAGCTGACCTATCCAAAGTCACAACACAAATTTCAGACTTCTATATGGATTTCATCTTAACATCAAGAAGACAAAACTCTTCACCCCTGCATTGATAAGCAACATCATGGTAAATGGAGAAAAGAGTGGAGTTGTGAATGATTCCATCTAACTTGGATCAATAATCAATACCCATGGTATCAGGAGTCAGGAGATCAGGAGGTATACTGTTAAAATCTGCTGTTTGGACTTCTCCAAATTACTGAGGAGCAATGGTAACTAGCATGCATCTGGTTCAGGCCATGGTCTTTTCAATCACTTGCTATGTATCTGAGAGCTGGACAATGACTAAGAATGGCAGAAAAGTTGATGCTTTTGAGCTGTGGTGCTGGAAAACAGTACTGATTATCTAATGGACTGCCAAAAGAACAAACACACACATCTTGGGAGAAAGTAAAGCCAGAATGCTCCCTCCAGGCAAAGAGGACAAAGCTTCATCTCACATACTTCCAGCGTGTTGCAAGGAGAGGCTATTCCTTGGAAAATGACATCATTCTTGGAAAGGTGTAGGGTCAGTGAAGAAGAACTTTAACCGGATGGATTGATATAGTGGCTATAGCAATGGGCTCATGTGTGTGAGATATGAGGATGGCACAAGAAAAGAGAGGGTTCAGATATGTTGTTCATAGACGCTGTGAGTTGTACTCTACTACAGCACCCAAGAACAAAAACACACTGTAACGAGAACTTTTCAGAACTCTTATGTTCTCCAGTGACTGAAACAGCTTATCTCTGATATCAAAGCACAACAGAAGATATATGGGAATAAATATTTTCTCTTAAAATTAATTCAATTCCACTCATCTTATCCACCAATATATTTTGCCTGCACTAATAAATGTGGCCAAAATATTGGTGATCATCTTGAATGGCTGGATCTTACCTCAGTCCTTAGAAATATCAATACTCACTGGCATTAACAGTACAAACTAAATCTTATATGCTCCAAATCTAGGCTTGCTTCTCTTTGTCAGAGAAGCTGCCTGGATAATCTCACCAAATACAACATACCTGCCTGCCTTTTCAAACCCAGCAGTGTTGTTTCTGTTTTCCCCATGGTACTTGGGTGAACATCTACGATTCTAATAGAACATTATTAACAACTGAAAGCAGATCCGATTTATATATCGCAAACCTGGAGGACCTCATGGGTGCCTGGAGCATGCAAGGTGTGGACCCGACTCAAACTATTAATCACAGCTATGCACGCGCTAACATGCCATTGTTTCATTTCTCAGCCCTAGACCGACGCTAATATAAATCATTCTCATTGCACAGATTATCAGCATGGCGGTCACAAAGGTAAAACTGCTTGCCCTAGTGCAAAGAAAGAGCTATAACTATGGCAACGAACCTTAACGAGGATTCCAAGACTGCAACACTTTTTAGCCACTTCCCATTAAAGCCTCTCGCTGTATCTGGAATCCTCCCACAATCTCTTCTGGAGGCCTAGTGTTAAGAAAATGCGCTGCAATCCCAAAGACACAGGTTTTGAATCCGCCAGCTGCTCTGTGGAAGGATAGGCAATCTCTTCCCACGCTATTTACAACCTCTGAATACCCGCTATAAGTCGGTTCCGACCCCACGGTACACATAACAAGCAACACCTAGAGGCTTCCAGGGAAGGGGATGAAGCCTCGTCCTAGCCCTTAAGTTCAGACAAAGCATGTGAATTGGGCAAGGAGCAGCGTGAAGGCGAGAGAACAGGCTCTATAGCCAGAGTCGGACGTCCTGCCTCAGACACTGAGCCCACTGACCCGGAGGCCCAGGTCTAGGGACGCGCGCGGACACCGGGGAGGCGACAAGCACGGTCCTAACCCCCTGGGCGAGGCGGACCAGCGGGCAGACAGGACCTGGAGTGATGAGCAAGATAAAGCCAACACGCAACACACCTCGGGCGGGTGGACGAGGCGGCCGCGACAGGCTTCCGGTGGTCCCGCAGCTCAGTGACGTTGAGAGCTTCGCGCAGCCAGGTCTCGCGGCTGGTTCTATGAAGAGGAATCAAAGTGAGCTGCAGCCCGGACCGCAAAGCGTGGTACACCCCTGCGGTCACGCCCCTTCCCCTGCCGCCCGTTCCACTTCCTCTCGGCGCGCGCGTTCCCAGGTGCGTTCGGTACCCTCTCTCTCCTGCGGGCGAGCTAAGCATCGTTTCCGCGGCCCGGGTGCACCGAGCGGAGCCGAGTCCGGGGGGTTCGAAAAGAGCTACCTTTAAAGGGAAAACATGTGTTGCGGAAGGCGGAGCCGCGTGGCCGAAATGTTCCTTTTCATTGAAGACCTGGAGGAGGATTATAAGATCCGTTGCCTCTGTTCCAGGGCATTTGTGGAGTAAGTGAAAACGTGTTTCCTATAATTGTTATTACAGTCACTTCCCAGAAATAAAAGTGTTTGCAAACGTTCTTATCATTGGTCCTTAGGCCACAGTCATAAAATTAGACCTTTGGGCAAAGGGAGAAAAAAGGTCCCGAGTAGTGGTGCATGTTTGAGTAGTTGCCTTCTGCCTTCATTGGTTTTCAGAGGATGTAAATAGCATGGGAGGAGATATCTGGACTTTCACCCGCGGAGCAACTAGTGAATTCGAACCGCCGGTCTTTGGGATGGCAGCAGCACAGCTTCTTACACACTAGGCATCAAGAAAATGAATTGAAAACACATTTAAACATTGAGAGAAGTGGGATGGAAAAATGAAATAGTTGTAAGTGCATGTGATGTCACAGGTGCAGCTTTGAAGTACAATACTTGTTTTTGTTAACTTTTTTAAACTGCAAGACGTATGAAAGCTGAAATGTATACAATTAGAACTGATGACTAATTAATTATATTTACGTTGTTAATTGTTGTGTAGGTGTCATCGAGTCCAGTATGGCTCATGTTGTTGTTGTTAGGTGCTGTCAAGTTGAGTGCGACCCTGTGAACAACAGATCTATCCTGTCCTGCACCATCCTCACACTTCCTGACATACCATTGCAACAGTCACTGTGTCAGTCCATCTGGTGGAGGGTCTTCCTCTTTCTCTCTTTTTAACTCACAGTCATATATGATACAACTCATAGTGACCCTCTAAACGACAGATCGGAGTACTACTCTATCCTGTTTTAGAGATACCTTCATCTTTGAGAAACCAGACATAGAAGATAACTTCCTTTTGTTGTAAAGATCTATCCTGTCCCATCCTTACCATCTCTGACACACTAGGGTTCATTGTTACAGTTACTGTCTCAATCCTTTTTGTTGAGGGTCTTCCCCTCTTTCACTAACCTTTCTAAGCATGTCCCTTTCCAAGGAATAGCCCATCCTAGCAACTTGCCCAAATTATGAGAGACAAGCTTCACTATACTTGCCTCTAAGGAGCACTCTGACTGCACTTTTTTCAAGAAACATTTCTTCTTTTGACCGTCTGTGGAATATTTAGTACTCTTCATCAACATCACAACTCAAAGGCCTCATTTCTTCTTCTGTCATACTTATTATCCAGATCTCAGGTGCATACCACTGCAAGACCATGGCTTGAATCAGGCACACTTTAGTCTTCAAACACCATTGCTCCTCAGTACTTTGGAAAGATCCTTCACAGAAGACTTCCTAAATCTAGGATATCTCCTGATCTCCTAATTGCTGGTACCAAGGGTGTTGATTTTAGTTAGATCCACATAAGATGAAATTGTTGACAGTTTCAGTCTTTTCTCCATCTGTCATGATGATGTTTATTGATCCAGTGGTGAGGATTTTTGTCTTTTTAATGACCAAGATTCTACAAAATTTTACAATTTTAAATTTTATGTAATTGCAGAATTACACTCTATAATAATTGGAGGCACTTCCTTCCTAGATGTAGGCTGGTTCAGATGGCCCACTGGACATTAGTCCCCAACTCCTACCTCATCCCCTTTGCTCCTCCTTCTCCTCCCTCCCCTCTACCTCCGACTGGGACCATTCAGACAAGGGAGTGATGATAGCCTGCACCCGGAGCACTGAATGGGTGAGTAGGGGTGGGGAGAACTCCAGGGTGGCCAAAAGGCCATTTCTTGGCTACTCGTTATTCCCCACAGCTTTCCCTGAGTGGAGCCTTGAAGGACAATTTCCTTTCTGCTTGTTGTTTTCCTGGAAGCAGTGAATTCCATTTATATTCTTTATAAAAGGTATTTGAAAACAGTGAACATACAAAATTCAGTCATTCATTGTCAGCCTCAGTTCTGTCACTTAGACCGTACTTTCCAACTACCCTTCTGCCTCTTTGTTTCCAGTTTTTGCATTCTAGTCACCAATTATTATTGAAGGTCAGGTTCAGTACAGATAATGAATACTGCATTGGAACAGATGAGAAGGACTGTCCAAAAGGAATATGTGATTGGGCATTATATGTATGACAGCAATCTAGAACAAGAGGTACATTGCAAAGTGGACGGGGCAGGGAAAGAGCAGAAAATGTGCAACAATAAATGAATTTTTAAAAATATATTTTAAAAATTGGTAGAAATCTTCAATTTCTTCTCTTTTGCTGTAGTTGTTGATGCATATATTTGAATAGAAGTATCAACAAGCCTTATTGCTATTATATGCTGGAGGCCTAGAATTTTACTCAGTAGATGAGATACTTCATCTAAAAGTATAACTTGCTCTCTTTTCTTATAATCAAGTCATGCTCCATGGCTTTGCAAGCTTAGTTCTCCAGGACAAGTCTTCCTTTTCTACTTATGGATAGTATCCTATCAATCACATTGTACTTTACCATGTTGTTGTTGCTGTTGTTGTTATGTGCCACCGTGATCCTATCTACAACAGCCCGAAATCCTACTCTATTCTGTGCCAATCTTATTGTCTCTGACACACCTATCTCCACTACCCCAATCCATCTCCTTGAGGGTCTTCCTCTCTTACACCTTCCCTCCAACCCCACCCCCAGCATGAAATCCCTCTCCAAGGACTGGTCCCTCCTTGCAGCCTGTCCAAAGTAGATGAAATGAAGCTTCAGAATATTTGCCTCCAAGGAGCAAAAACCCATCCAAAGAGGGTTTCACCCTCTCTAGGATGAACCTGTTCTAACAGTCCATGGTATATTCAGTACTCTTCTCCGGCACCACAGCTCAAAGGCATCAATTCTTTTATCATCCTACTTATTGTTTAGCTCTCTGATGCATAGCAAGTAATTGCAAAGACCATAGCCTGGACCAGGTGCACCTTAGTCTCCAGACTGACATCGTTGCTTTTCATAGATCTTGAAATTGTCTTTTAACTATGACTCCAATGCCATTCTTCTCAGTTGTTCATTCCTGGTATAATAGATCAGATGATTATCTACTTCAAAATGGCCCATCCTAGTTTTTCAGAAGATAACTAGTGCATAGGAAAAAGCTAACTAGCTTTTTTTCTTAGTGTTACATCTCATTTTCTTAGTGTTATATCTGTGAATTTGATCACTAAAGTCCATTTTGGCCTGGGACCTAGAATGTGCTTTACCATCAAGCTCGCTCCAGGCCCTAAAGTCCATTTCTAAAACAGGCATAACTGCCCTCGTTACCTCACATACTTCCTGTAAGATTCCTATGAAGGTGAGTTTCATGTGCTGGCCTTGTAGGAAGACGTTATAGAGAGGAATAACTTGATCAGACAGGTGCATTCTACTCTGGCAGTAGAATGAAGGATGATTTGGTGAAGAGGTTTTTTAAGGCCATTGTCTAGACAAGATTATCGTGTTTTGAATTAGACCCTGTGGCTGCTAAACCAAGAATAGGACAAGTGGATGGCTTTCACAAACATTTGTTTCCTGTCCGTTTAAGAGACTTAAAGTTCAAATTCAGAGTGCTGGCACCAGGGGAAGGCTTTCTATTCAGCTCCCAAGGATGTTCCACTTTGTTCAGCAGCTGGAAGTTTCTGTTTCCTTGGTTTTTGGAAGATATCCCTGTGTCTCAGCATCTGCCTTCTGCTCTGCTGGATTGCTCACTCTCTTTTATAACTAAAAAAAGTGATTAACTAAAATATAAGTGCTCATCTTGTTAGGACAACAAACAACAGTTTTTGAATGGGATTATAACTAGCGGTGATGTTGTTATATGTTCACTGCTACTCATAGCAACTCTTTGAACAACAGATCCTAACCTGACCTCATCCTGTGCCATCCTCACCATTTCTGATATATTTGAGCCCATTGTTACAGTCGCTATATCAATCTATTTTGTTGAGACTCTTTCTCTGCAACACTGACCCTCTACCTTTCCAAGCATAATGTCCTTCTCCCAGGAGTGACCTCTCGTAGCAACATGCCCGAAGTATGAGACCATCCTTACTTATAAGGAGCACACTGGTTGCGCTTTCTCCCAGACATATGCATTTGTTCTCTTGGCAGTCAGTGGAATAACCCAAGCTCTCAAGGGCATCAATTCTTCTGTCGTCCTTAGTCATTGTCTAAGTTTCAAATGCATGGCAAACAAGCAGAAAGACTGGTTTGCATCAGGCACAGGTTAGTCTTTAAACATACATCCTTGTTCTTCAGCACTTGTAGTGGTTCCTGATAACAGATTTTCCAGTGTTTATGTAACCATTGTCATAGAGATTAGACTTTATAGCAATATTTTGAGAGGGCATGATTCAATCTATAACTGAAGATTTTGTAGTTAAAAGTTATGATGAGAGTTAAGGTTAATAAGAGCTCTTAGGAGAGCAGCCTCTTAGTTGAATTACTAAAATTCAGGTTTGATTCCAGCTTTACAGTTTAATTCCACAATTAAGACTTAATCCATATAACATCTCAGGTCCAGAAATAGCTGTCATTCAGAGTTACTGTGATCTGTGGCTTGAGCTTCACTGATCAAACGCAACAGAGATTGCTCTGTAGAGACCACTGAGCAAATGTAATGGGAAATTATCTAAATACCAAAAACAGACTCATTGCCGGTTGTCAAGTCAGTTCCCACTCACAGCACAAGGCTGTAAATCTTTACTGGAGAAGACCACTCTTTTTTCTCTTACAGAGCCGTTGGTAGCTTGAACCATCAACTCTGTTAGCAGCACAACATGTAACACCTGTCTGATTTTGACTGCTAGCATTGAGCTTCTCCAGTAAGCTCCTGTTGTTGATTGCCTTTGAGTCAACTCACAGCAACCCTATGAACAAAAGACCTGAAGCTCCTATACAACTATCAACATTTATCCAAGTTCATAGAGTTTCTGGAGGCATGTTATTTAGGAAGTGGATGCCACTCCTGCTTCTAAACCTGTCATAGTATGTTATTGTTATTATGTTCCATTAAGTTGCCTGCGATGTATAGCGACTCTTTGTATAGCAGCTCTAAACCAACCCTTCCCTGTCCTGAGCCAGTCTTACTAATCCCAACACACAAACCCCCATTGCCCCAGTTACTGTATCAATCCATCTCATCCAGGGTCTCCCTTCTCCTCTTCCCCCTCCACCCCCTCTTCCCCTGCCTTCGCCTCTTTCCCTCCCTCCTCTATCCACCCTTCCAAGCATGATGTCCTACTTGAAGGACCAATCTCTCCTGGTCATATGTCCAAAGTGAGGCAGAGCTTCAAAATCCTCCCCTCCAAGGAGAGATTTGGTTTCACCCTCTCAAAGGCAGACCTATTTGTTTTCTTGGCAGTCCATGGTATGTTCAAGACTCTTCCCCAGCACCACCACTTGAAGGCATTTCTTCTTCTGTCATCCTTAGTCATTGTCCAACTCTCTGAAGAATAACAAGTAATTGAGAAGACCATGGCTTGAATTAGGCATACCTTGTTATCTAGACTGACATCATTGTTCTTCAGCACTCTAGAGAGGTCCATGACAGCAGATTTTCCCCAAGGCAATTTGTCTTTTGATTTCTTGACTGCTGGTGTTAAAAGTGTTGATAGTGGATCTGAGCAAGCTGTAGTTGCTAACAACCTCAATCTCTTCTCCATCTATTATGATGCTTGCCAGTTGGCCCAGTGGTAAGAACCTTTGTCTTCTTGATGTTGAACTTCAGTACATATTGAAGACTACAGTCCTTGACCTTTTGCAGCAAGTGCTTCATGTCCTCTTCAGTTTCAGCAAGCAAGGTTGATGAGTCTCTCTCCAATCTTGATGCCACACTTCTCCTCATAAAACCCTGCTTCCCAAATGATCTGTTCTGCATACAGATTGAAAAGGTATGGGGACAGGATGCATCCCTGGCACACTCCTTTCCTGATTTTGAAGCATGCAGTGTTTCCTTGTTCTGTTCTAAGGAATACTTCTTGGTCTAAGTTGTTGGTTGTTATGTGCCATCAAGTCGCTTTCGACTCATAGCGACCTTGTGTACAAGAGCTCTAAACACTCTTCTATCCTGTGCCAACCTAGCGATCTCAAATGCGCTTATTCCCACCACTCCAATCACAGAATCACTCCATCTCATCAAAGGTCTTCCTCTCTTTCGCTGCCCCTCCACTCTGCCAAACATGATGTCCCTCTCCAAGGACCAGTCCCTCCTTGCAACATGCCCAAAATATATCAGACGAAGCTTCAGAATCCTTGCCTCCAAAGAGTCTTCTGGCTTCACCTTCTCAGGACAAACCTGTTTGTTCTCCTAGCAGTCCATGGTATATTCAGTACTCTTCACCAGCACCACAGCTCAAAGGCATCAATTCTCTTTCTATCAACCCTATTCACTGTCCAACTCTCTGATGCATAGCACGTAATTGCAAAGACTGTAGCCCAGATCAGGCACACCTCAGTCTCCAGTCTCATGTCGTTGCTCTTCAGTACTCTTGAGAGATCCCTCATAGCCAACTTTCCCAATGCAATTCATCTCTTGATTTCCTGGCTGCTGTTACCAAGAGTGTTGACTGTGGAGCCAAGTAAACTAGAACTGTTAACTATCTCATTCTCTTCACCTTCCATACTGATGCTGCCAATTGGCCCAGTGGTGAGAATCTTTGTTTTCTTGATGTTGAGCTTCAATCCATATAGGAGGCTGTAGTCCTTGATCTTCTGCAGCAAGCGCTTCAGGTCCTCCTCGGTTTCAGCAAGGGTTGTGTCATCTGCATAACGCAGGTTGTTGACTCTTCCACCAATCCTGATGCCACATTCCTCTTCATATAGCCCAGCGTCTCGGATGATCTGTTCTGCATACAGATTGAAAAGGTATGGAGACAGAATACATCCCTGAAGGACCCCCTTCTTGATTTTGAACCATGTAGTGTCTCCTTGCTCTGTGCTGATGACTGCCTCTTGGTCCAAGTATAAGTTTCGTATTAGCACAATCAAATGTTCTGGTATTCTCATTCTTCTCAGAGTTAGCCACAGCTTGTTGTGATCCACACAGTCAAAAGCCTTTGCATAGTCAATGAAGCACACAGATAGACATTCTTCTGGTATTCTTTGCTTTCTGCCATGATCCATCTAACATTAGCTATAATATCTAAGTATAGGTTTCATATAATCACAATCAAGTGTTCTTAGAGTCCCATTTTCCTTAAGGTTAGCCACAATTTATTGTGATCCACAGAGTCATACGCCTTTCCATAATCAATGAAACACAGGTAGACATTCTTCTGGTATTCTCTACTCTCTGCCAGGATCCATCTGACATTGACAATAATGTCCCTAGTGCTACGGCTTCTTCTAAGCCAGCCCTGTATTTCTAGTAGTTCTCTGTCAATGTATTGTCAAAGTCTTTTCTGGATCATTTTCAGCAGATTTTGCTAGTGTGTGATATTAGTGATATTGTTTGATAATTTCCACACTCTGTCAGGTCACCTTTTTTCTAGTCAGTTGGCCAAATAGTTTTCCTCCAGATTTCTTGGCACAACTTGGTGAGCACATGCAGGGCAGCATCTGTTTGCTGAAATACGTCAACTGGTATTCCATCAATTCTTGGGGCTTTCTTTTTTGCCAAGTCATTCAGAGCAACCTGAACTTCCTCTTTCATCACCACTGCCTCTTGCTCATAAGTTGTTTCTTGAAATTCTTCTGTGTCAGCAAATTCTGTTTGGTACAATGACTCTGTATACTCCTTTCATCTTCTTTTAATGCTTCTTGAATCATTCAGTATTCTGCCGATAGCATCCTTAAGCATTGCAACTCATGGCTTGAATTTATTCTTTAGTTCTTTCAGCTTACGAAAAGCTGAATGAGTTCGGTCCTTTTCATTTTCTGAGTCCAGCTCCTTGAACATTTCATTATATTTTGCCTATCTTCCTGAGCAGCCCTTTGAAATCTTCTTAGATTAAAATTCACATTTTATCAATTCTTCCAGCATTGTATCTCCTTATCGTTTGATCAAGGATCCCTCCTAGATACATGTTGGATATTAGTTACCATATCTTATCAGTATTCTCCAATCTAGAAAAATTCTACACTTGCCCCCTCTCTTTCATGTAATACTTAGACAAAAGATGGCTCTGCATACCTTGATTAATGATGTTTCATCATGAACAAAGTTGGGTCCTGCCTTCTCGGCAGAAATACAGAAATAGTGCTGTTCTTAGTTCATCACATCAGGAGACACTTGGTTAACTAGTCATGTTCGCCGTATCCCTCCCCTGTAATCTTTTCATACATGAGTATTTTGGGGGGAGAGATAAACTAACATTACGTCTCAACAAACCCACACACATTAGCCTACATTGATAATTTCCATGTGAATCAGCACTGCAACTTTTGCAAAAGACTTTAGTGACTTATGTTTCCTTTCCTTCCGCATTTATCACTTAAGATTGAGCCACAAGGAAATGATTGTCTCCCATTTGTTTACTCCTCTGTTTGCTATATTAACATGGACTTTATCAATGAGTTCTATTCCTTTACTCTCTTGGTGATCATGGATTTTGACTGTTAATGGATTTGGTGATACTGGACTTGACTGTTGGCATCTTCCCATGGTCTTCCTTTATCCTTTTGGTATGTCCCCAGCATTCTTTGAGTACTTCCAATCTTCTGGCACAGCAAGGTGGCCCAGGCTTGTTTCTCTTTTAACAGTTCATGCCCCAATCTGGAATTGCTATTCCTTCAAGGCATTCTTGTTTCTTTTCTTGGAAAACAGTTTTTAGATACTATGTTATAGGTGCTCCTTGTGTTTATTGTTACTGTGTTGGTAGTGGTGTTGCTTTTGAGTACCCATGGCTGAACACCCAGCAGGTTTTCAAAACTGTTGGGGATGTATTAAAGGATAAAGGAGCTACCACAGAAAGCTCCATAAACCACATTTGTGACAACTTGAGCACCACAAGAGAAGAGAGTGAAAGTTCCTTGATAAAGTGAAGTCCATGTCAGTATAGAAAATAGATGAGTAAACAAATGAGGGGGAAGCTTTTCCCTACAGTGGAATTTTCAGTGATAAGTTCATAAGGAAAGGAGACAGAATCACTCTTTTGGGAGGAAATTGCCTAGCTTTGATTTAGCAGCACAGCTTCCTGCAGACTACACCCACAGATGTCCCCTCAACTCAACTCACTAACCTTAAACTCAATTAGAATATGTGATAGTGTGTGAATATTTTAAGTGAGGGAAAATCCTTATAAGTTACTACTCTAACTGCCTCGTGTTTGTTTTTCTGTCTAAACTTATGCCTATATGTTTAAATAGTGATTGCCTAATTTGCTTTACAGGGATCGAAAATTGTGCAGTTTGGGATTAAAAGGCTACTATGTCAGAGGAAATAGCAATAATGCAGGTAATGTAATACAGCCTTTAATTTGTTATAATGCTGTAATAACTCCTTAGCATAAGCTGTGAGAAGTAATCATAGAAGTAATTATAGGTCTTTATTTTTGTCAGCCCATTACTCTAGAATCCCTGTGAAAGCCAATCTGTTGGGGTAAGTTGAAGGGAGGCTTTTTATTCTGTGTGGCATTTCTTCTTGAGTTACTGCTCTGAAAAGTTGGGAATGTCTGATCTCTTCATCAACATTTTATAGATAACGTCATTCAAAAGAAATTTCAAGTAAACATCTAAAGTTTTCTGAATGAAGTAAAAGGTTAATTTTCCCAATTAGTAAGTAGACTTGGGGTTGTGCATTAAGCCTAACCTAATTAACAGAAAACTTTGTTGTTGTCTCTCAGATTTCTCTTTAGGACCTTGTTTGTCCTTTCCACATAGATTGTCTATGATGTTCCTGGATGACCTGGATAATGAGAAAACTATCGATAATGTTGGCATTACTGAAGGGTGTCATTGAAATTCCTGTAGTCTAAACACATAAGAAAATATGCATAACATGTTGTTGTTGTGGTGGTGGTGGTGGTGGTTGTTTTTAGGTGCTATCAATTCGAATATGAATTCATAGCAACCCTGTGAACAGGTCTAAACCCTGTTCTTTCCTGCACCATCCTCACACTTCCTGACACACAAGAGCCCATTGTGGCAGTTACTGTGTCAATCCATCTGGCCAACAGTCTGCCTCTCCTTCACTGAGCTACCTTTCCTAGCATCATGTCCCTGTCCCAGGAATAGCCCCTCCTAGCAACATGCCCAGGCAGAGACATAAAATTTAGCTGACTCATTTTCTCCACATTGCTTATTCCTGAGTTTTCTTTTCTTTTTTTTTTTTAAATTTTTATTAATTTTAATGAATATTTACAGAGACTTTGAATTTTCATTCATTCATTCTTGCCTTTTTCTCCTGTCTACCCCGCCCCCAAGTTTGCTCTTCTCTTTGAAAAGTAAAAGAAAAATTCTTTCACTGGTGTACAATCCCCCTCCCCTATCCCCCAGTACACTCCATTATACAGCCTTCATTCTGGACTCTTGTCCTGACCATAATACCCAATCATATCCTGAGCTTTCTTAAGTGCATTAAAATAGAGCAGTGAGTGAAATACCCTTGATTACTTCATTGAATGTCTTTTCCCTTTTCTCTCCTAGGAACCTGTTTAAAACTTATGTATGCAAAGTTTCTCTTACCTCTCTCTGTTTTTTCCCTGTGGAATACTGTTCAGTTGCCTATGATGTTTGACCTGTAGTCTATGCTCATATGTAAAATAGTGTTTCTCACATTTTGAACAGTAAATCATTTAAATGACTTTTCTATAAAAACTTGAATCAAGATGTTCAACTTGATCTTCCAGTTTAGTGATTTCTAATTTTGAGTAACGATTCCTTTATTTAATCATCTATCACACATAATCTTGATTTCTACATCCCACTTAGATGTTGAGATACTACAGTGAAAAGTCTTGGTGATATACCACTCACCTTTCTTTATTACCAGCTCCTAAACTGACTACATAAGACATAATTTTAAATTCGCCAATTTAGTCCATTAATTTTTCACTGCCAAGGGAACAGAGACCTTCTGCTCTGTTCTTTCTTTCGTCCTTGGTGCATAATACCTTACACAGGGGAGATACTAAATAAATTATAATTGAATGGACAGAATACAGGCTGAGAGATGGAGCTAAAAGCAGTTTTTGACTAATAGGACTATGTTTATAAAGAGTCTACTGCCAGCCCAGAAACAAGCAGTTCAGATCCACCAGCTGCTCCCCAGGAGGAAGATGGGCAGGCTCCTCTCCTGCAATTTTAGTCTCTGAAAACCCACAGGAGGGTCAGCTCTGGGCTGGTTGTGACTCAGTGGCACATAACAGCCCATACTACAGCTGGCTTAATCAACCCCGTAAAAGTCATAGCATTTGCACATCTATACTATGGGGAGAGTCATGTAGTCACTTTGGGTCTAAGGTTCAAATTTAAAATGAGGGTAATAAAACATACCTCTAAATTTTCTGTGAAACTAAACTAACCGTTTCTCTCTGCAGAAGATCAAGAATCAGAAGAAGAGGAAAGTCATTCCCAGGACAGTGCAGAATCACGTGATAGCAAAGGTATAGACCTAGATGAAAGTGAACTAGATTCGGAGGCTGAACTCATGAAAAGCATGGGACTCCCACTTCAATTTGGTGGAATATCTACACACAAGAGTTCTGAGGTAAGTACTAATTCACTTTTCTTTTTCTTGTTTCCTCTCAAAAAATTATGGAAGTTGTTTGTGGTTTTTTTGTCTTGATTTGGTGCATATCCTGAATTAGAGCATTTGCAAAATAGGTCAGATCTGTGGTTGTTAGGTTTGCTGTGAGTCCTGCTCAAGTCAGCAAAACCTAATGACAACCACCTCTTTTGAAATGTATGTGTTTCTAAGTTAAGCAAAATGACATATGATGTTCAGATTCTCATTTGTCTAATATAGGTGTCTGTGAATGCTAGAAATAAAGTTAAAATAAAAAAGAAGAAGAAAAAACCTGAAAGGAAGTATTTAGATGAAATTATAAAGGAATCTTGGAGAGGAGAATATGATGAAGATGACCTTTTGGCTTCAGAGGCTCCATCTTCAGTTGAACAGTATGAGAACACCAGAACATGCACATCTCAAACCCAAAAAGATGCTGAACTGGAAAATCTCCCTACTGAAATTGTATCCTCTCCAAAGCTAGAAATCACAGAGAAGTGGGAAGAGTATTGGAGGGAGTATGGAGGAGGACTACTCTGGCAGAGCTGGCAAGAGAAGCATTTGGATCAGACACTGTCCCCTGAGCCTTGGAGCTGTCCTGATACAAAGGAAGAATGGGAACAACACTATAGTCAACTCTATTGGTATTATTTGGAACAATTTCAGTTTTGGCAGAGTCAAGGTTGGACTTTTGATGCTGCACAAAGTTGCACTACAGATGCTTGTGAATCTAAAACACAAGTTGGCAACAAAAATGAAAATTGTGTGAAAATGGACCTAATTTCATCTCCATCTTCATTCATTGTGATTGATAATAAAAGCTCTAGTTCAAGTGATAAGGATCATAATGAAATTCTTGATAGACTTACTAGTATAACTCTAAATTCAGAGGAAGTAGAACAAAGCCAGTTAGAGTCTTCTGTGAATCGTGATAGTCTTCTTGAGCTAAGTGAAGTCTGCAGCGTGAGAGAATGCCCCACCTCTGGACAGAGAGAACCATGTAATGGAGGAACCGAAGAAAGAAAAGTGTCCAGGAGAAGGGACACACCCCCGCCTGCTCAAGGTAAGACTGGTCAAGGCTTTCTTGGTTAAATAGTGGACAGGAAAATTCATGTGTTTAGCAAGATAGCATTTTTTTCCTTTACAAAATGTATTAAATTTCCTCCCAGTCTCTGTCATCTGTTGTTTCCTGTTTACTGAGGTATGTTTATGGATTAGCAGCTTCTGATTTAGTACCAGTGTATCTACCATTGGGGTCAGTTGAAGAAGTTAAGATTTTTATTTGTTTTCAATCGTCAAGCTATTAGGTATACATTGATATGTGGTGTACCCCATATGTTTCCTACTGTTTGGGATTTGGATTCTCAGCATGTTCCATTGTCTATTCTCTAGGTACATTGCAACTTTTGATTTCACTCTGCTCACTTTCTAAAGAAACATTAAACATATTGCTTCTTTCTCAGAAATCCTTTTATAATTATACTGTCTAGCGTTCTTTAGGTTAAAAGTCCACCAGAATATGGTATCACAGAGGTATCTGGGAGTTGCTGTGCTATTTTAACAAATAGGAAAAGTTGGTTTAGTTATCTTTTTTAATAAATCATAGAAACAGTTAAACCTTAAAGGCATGGTTACACATGTATTTAAGCTCAAATGTTGCACAGTGCCACACGGGCCAGGTAACTTGGGGGCCTGTATTCTGCATGTACAATTAGTTCATTGCAGATGAGGCTCTGAAAGGCCTTTCTTGCTTTTGTAAATATCCTAAAAGTTGTCAAATCTATAATAAAGGGGGGAAATCTATAATATGTCTGCCTCAGTAGATTCACGGGAGTCTTCAGGAGCAACCTCAAGCAAAGAAAGACCATACAACAGTGGTATCAATGGAGAAGAGAATGAAGACGATCCACCTGATTGTAAACCAGCCAAACTCAAGAGGAGGCAAGTTACACATCACCTCTCTCTCCAAAATGTGCTAAATAAGTATTGATGGCCATGACTGAATGGTTGTGAAATGCTGGATCTGTTCAACACTGCTGATTCTATGTGGAGAAGAGGCAGGGTGTATTGATAAGGGCCTGGGCCTTCTCGTCTATGAAATGGGAGATGATTGAAAGCATTGGAATTAGCAAATTATATATATGCCATATAATTGCATTGTACTACTTGTAATTGTTGTTACTGTTGTTGTTGTTGTTATGTGCCATCAAGTCGCTTGCGACTCATAGCAACCCTATGTACAAGAGCTCTAAACTCCATTCTATTCTGTGCCAACACAGCCATCTCAAACACACTCAATTCCCACCACTCCAGTCACAGAATCGATCCATCTCATTGAAGGTCTACCTCTCCTGCGCCACCTATCCACTCTGCCAAACATGAGGTCCCTCTCCAAGGACCAATCCCTCCTTGCAACATGCCCAGAGTATGTCAGACGAAGCTTCAGAATCCTTGACTCCAAGGAGCATTCTGGCTTCACCTTCTCAGGACAAACCTGTTTGTTCTCCTAGCAGTCCATGGTATATTCAACACTCTTCTCCAGCACCACAGTTCAAAGGCATCAATTCTTCTATCATCCCTAGTCACTGTCCAACTCTTTGACACATAGCACATAATTGCGAAGACGATAGCCCAGATCAGGCACACCTTAGTCTCCAGCCTGACATCATTGCTCTTCAGTACTCTTGAGAGGTCCCTCACAGCCGACTTTCCCAATGCAATTCGTCTCCTGATTTCCTGGCTGCTTTTACCAAGAGTGTTGACTGTAGAGCCAAGTAAACTAAAACTGTTAATTATCTCAATATCTTCCAAAGAAAGGTGACCCAACAGAGTGCAAGAATTTTCGAACAATATCATTAATATCACATGCAAGCAAGATTCTGCTGAAAATTATCCAAAAACGACTGGAGCAATATGTCAACAGAGAACTACCAGATGTGCAGGTGGATTTAGAAGAGGTCGTGGTACTAGGGATATTATAGCTAATGTTAGATGGATCTTGGCAGAAAGCAAAGAATACCAGGAGAATGTCTATGTATGCTTCATTGACTATGCAAAGACTTTTGACTGTGTGGATCACAACAAGCTGTGGCTGACTCTGAGAGGAATGGGAATACCAGAACACTTGGTTGTGTTAATGCAAAACCTATGCTTGGACCAAGAGGCAATCATCAGAACAGAGCAAGGAGACACTACACAGTTCAAAATCAAGAAGGGATGTATTCTCTCTCCATACCTTTTCAATCTGTATGCAGAACAGATCATCCAAGACGCTGGGCTGTACGAGGAGGAGTGTGGCATCAGGATTGGTGGAAGAGTCATCAGCAACCTGCATTATGCAGATGATACAATCCTGCTTGCTGAAACTGAGGAGGACATGAAGCGCTTGCTACAGAAGATCAAGGATTGCAGCCTCCTATATGGATTGAAGCTCAACATCAAGAAAACAAAGATTCTCACCACTGGGTCATTTGGCACCATCAATATGGATGGTGAAGAGATTCAGATAGGTAATAGTTTTAGTTTACTTGGCCCTACAGTCAACTTGTAATTATGTGACGTATAATAATGTCCCAAGGTATAGGAGCTTTAGTTGTTTTTGTTGTCCCATAGAATTGGAACCAACCCATAGCTGTACCTCCAGTGGGTTTTCATAGACTAAGGGCATGGGAGGAAACTGCTCATCCTTTTCCCTCAAAGCATCTGATGGATTTGAACCACACACCTTTGTGATTGCAGCACAGCCTATTACCACTAGGCCACCCGAGCTCCTTATGGATGATTGTGAGCCATCTTCAAAATCTCTGACACACTCAAGCCCATTGTTGCAGTCACTGTGTCAATCCAACTGTTTGAAGGTCTCTTCTATGAAATGGGGGTGATTTGATGGAGATGATTGGAGGCTCCTAGGGTTTTTTTAATAATGCTCTTTTTTTTATTACAGTTCATTTCTTTCTTTTGGTTAAATTAATACTTCTCAAATATTGCCTTTGTTTTACGGAAAAAATCTCTGGAGAAATTGCACTGCTGTTGTTAGGTGCCGTTGAGTACAACACGTCATAACGACCCTATGAATAGTCAACCTGAACCCTGCCCTATTCTGTACCATCTTGATCATCTCTGACACACTAAAGCCCACTGCTAAAGTCATCATGTCAGCCCATCTTGTCAGAATCCATCTTCCTCTCCTGTGCTGACCTGCCATCTTTGCAAGCAGGAGGTTCCTTTCCAAGAAATAGTACCACCTAGCTACATGTCCAAAGTATGAAAAAATGAAGTTTTACCATCTTTTTCTCTAAGGAGAACTCTGACTGCACTTTTCCCAAGATATACCTATTCTTTTGACAGTCCTTGGAAGAGTACCTCTTCTCCAGCAACACAACTCAAAGGCATCAGTTCTTCTGTCATCCTTACTCATTGTCCAGCTTTCTGTTGCATAGCAGGTGATTGAGAAGACCATGGCTTGAATCAGGCACACCTTAGTCTTCAAATTGACATCATTGCTCTTCAGCATTTTGGAGAGGTCCCTAACAGCAGACTAGTACCATATGTCTCCTGATTTCTTGACTGCCGGTACCAAGGTGTTGTTAATCCAAGCAAGATGAAATTATTAACAGCTTCAGTCATAATGTTGACTGTTATTCCTATGGTACTAAGAGATACAATTAGCTGCAGCTTTATTTGAGAAGAGGGAGGATTACAGCTTCTCCCAAAAGAAAATGAGATCTATTTGTGTCATGTTCAGGAATGGAGATAATGACATCACAGTATAAAATTTAAATGCTTATTACTATAGTGGTTGTTGTTGTTGTTATGTGCCGTCGAGTCGCTTGCGACTCATAGTGACCATATGTACAACAGACCTAAACTCTGCTCTGTCCTGTGCCAATCGCACTGTCTCCGACACTCCCATCCCGATTATCTCAGTCACTGAATCAATCCACC